GTAGCTATCCCCACGCAGCGCGTCTATGTGTCTGGCAAACTCCAATGCAAATCACCTGTGAGGTTTCAGTATGCAGCTATCCCCACTCAACTCGTCTATGTGTCTGGCAAACTCAAAAACCAATGCATCTGTGAGGTTTCAGTATGCAGTTATCCTCACTCAACACGCCTAGGTGTCTCGCAATCTCTAATACAAATCACCTGTGAGGCTCAATATGTGTCTATCCTCACTCAACGCGTCAATGTGTCCGGCACTTCAACATCACTCAACCCGTGGGGTTTCAGTATGCAGCTATCCCCACTCAACCCGTCCGTGTGTCTGGCAATCTCAAGGAACTCTCGCGCGGAGAACCAACCACAACGCCTCCCGCAGGAGCCGAGCGTAAGGGTGCAGCGTACAGCAGCAGTCATTCGGCTTTCGTGACACGCGCGCATTTCCTCCCTCTTCGCTCCGCATCAGGTACCTTGATGAATTCCGTATAGCTTATAGCTGGCTTAAGCTACTTGTACTTTGTTACTTTGCCACCTTGTACACTGCTGTCATTGCTGTCTCGCGAAGCTGGTTTGCAACTTTTGAGTTTTCAAACTCCAATCCGCGGTCTCTTGTATCTACAACAGTAGTAGCAGTGTACACAGCATGCGTAGAATAATAAGTGTAGTCGATAGATATGGCTGCTAACCGTCCGTCTGAGTATCGCACACTACGGCCCGGCCGCAAACGTAGCCCTTGTGTGAACACACGTCCTAACTGCGCGCTTCTATTGCTGCGTGCGCTCGCTGTCCTCACGGGGAACCAAAAAAGTAAAAAAAGAAAAAACGCAACGCGAGACTGGTGCAGACCGCCGTAGATTGCAAGCACAGCCAGGGCTGCTGCTGTACACCCCAGCAGCATCATGTCTCAGGAGTCTTCCGCTTCAAGGGTCGATGATCCCGCACGGCACCACGACCCTGGACAGGTACAGACCTTCATGCGGTAGCCAATTGGTTTTTGCGTTTTTGGCACTGGCTGCTTTTGGGGTATGCTCTGTACCGCTCGCTGCGCTACCGTACTTGCTGTAAGCGTGTGTCGTCTTGGGAACCCAAGTTGTCTTTCGCGTGCGGTAATGAAGCAGTGTTCTTGGGGTTGAGATTAGGTAAAAGTGTTTGAATGTGCAGAATAGGCACTGCTGCTGTACTACGCGTCCCGTCTTTGGACCAAGGTTTGAAGAGGATCTCATGTGGGCAGTGGTCTATCGTAAGCTGGGTACAGAGTGTTGAGCACACGCCTAACGAAATGCAAACGCGACCGTGATTGTCCATTGCGATTTAGAACATATTTTCGGGTCGGATACGTCTCTGCCAGTACGTGCAGATAGCCGGCTTTTTTAAAACAACATGACATTTCAACGCCCTCTCGTCAGGTCCAGCGGTGGGGTCAACACAAAGGCATGCCCGCCGCCCTTCTCAGCACTCATCTCGGTCTCGTTGGGTGTACCTCATATTGACCACGGTTTTTGTTGGCGGCGCCGTTTATGTGCCGTTATGCTGCGTAAACCTTGTCTGCAGGGGGGGGTCGAGGAGGACGAAGAAAGCGACGAAGTANATTTGAAACAACATGACATTTCAACGGCCTCTCGTCAGGTCCAGCGGTGGGGTCAACACAAAGGCATGCCCGCCGCCCTTCTCAGCACTCATCTCGGTCTCGTTGGGTGTACCTCATATTGACCACGGTTTTTGTTGGCGGCGCCGTTTATGTGCCGTTATGCTGCGTAAACCTTGTCTGCAGGGGGGGGTCGAGGAGGACGAAGAAAGCGACGAAGTAATATTTTCGTGCCGGCTGGACAACGCAGAGTCTATCACCACAATCCTCTCCTGCCTTAGCCACGGAACCCGCAAGGACCAGCAGGCCCAGTGCGAAGTAAGTTTTTTTTTTTTTGACTTTATAGGAGTACGGGGCGTATTGAACAGCGTTTCGCTTCCAAGTTTCCAGATTTTCAAATGCGTATATCATAGAACCTAGATTTGCGGCCGACGGAACATGTTTGGGAAGTAAGAGATTTGGAAGTTCATCAGCTGTGTTTGAAACGGCTCTAAGTGCCTTCGTTTGTGTGCATCGTAGAAAAACTGAATGAAGCGACTCCTCTTCAGCTCGACACCCTGTGTATGTATGTGCTGCTGCTGTACGGGAGGTGAGAGCCTCGCTCTTCGCCGCTTGATCTGGAGAATAAGACAAGTATTTTTTCTCTTGAGTAGCATGGCGGTGGTACGCTCACTTCCATCATGACAGCGACATGTTGGTGTCTAGAACTACGGTTTCTGACACAAATCCGTCGTGCTCCCCGTTCCAAGAGGAACAATCCTTCAGAACCAGCCACCACTTTGTGAAAATAACGTCCTCCTCGTACCTTGGGGGAGATGGATATGTCCCATTCTCAAGGTCCTCCCCATACAGGTCAAGGAGTTGAAGACGGGGTTTATCGAAACTTGCGGTCCTTTCTTGGAACACGGTTGTTCTACAGTTCGCCCCTACAGGGCGAGGAAAATGGAGTGTTTTGAATCGCATGGCCCTTTCTTGAACTTGCCAACTGGCTTATTGACCCTGCCATAGTCGGGTTTCAGTGGTTTGTAGGAACCGGGGGGTACTGGAACAAGGTCTGAACGTTTTGAGCTTTGTTGACGACGACGATGACTACATCGCCAAACACCGCGAGAGGAACCAACAAGGGCAAGAAACAACACTACCCAAGACAAGAACGAGTGCCAAACAAAAACAACAAAACAAATAGGTGACGAAGGAGTCGATGACCCTCGTGGTTTCGGGAAGAGCCAAGTACACACAGGCGCAGGGGTCCCTAGACAGCAGCCTGTTCCAGGAATACGACTGTGTCGAGGGCGCCAAGTTCGGCATCAACCTCACCACGCTGCTGGAGTGCCTGCAGATCTTCGGTCCGGGCTCTCTCGCCCAGACGAGCGTCAGCATGGCGTACCAGGAGGTAAGTTTTGTGTAGCCTTTACCGGTGCATTTTTCTTGATTTGTTTAGGGTTAGGGTTGAGGATTGGGATTTGAACCCCCGCGTCTCCTTTTCGTAGATTTGTAAGAAAATCCTCGCGAAAACTTGTCCTAGGCTTTTGAGATATCGCTGTTTTTTTATTTTCTCTACCTGTCTTGTTGCGAGAGGGGAGGGGATCTTGGCCGCGCATCTTCGCACTCTGCGGATCGTGGGTGCTCGCGTCGCGAACGAAGGCGTTGCTAAGCTTGTCGGTTGCGCACGGCGACCAGGCCGCCTTTTCGCGCCTATCGCTAAATAGTGGCCGCGATGTGCTCAGCGAAAGGGCGAGCTGCATGCATCCCATAACGGCGAGGTGGCGGGTTTCGTTGTTGTGACGCCGGCGGCAGGAATAGCTCGAATCCTCGTGGAAGGTAGGTATATCCTGTGGGTGAATTTCCACAGACGCCGCGGTTGTTCCCGAGCGGCAAGATCAACAAGACCCACCCGTGTTGTCCGCACGCTCTCCGATGGCAGGCTAGAGCGACGTTCCGCCTCACCCTGGAAGAGGGCGGGGTGTTCACGAGCTGCAAGATAAGAACCATCCACCAGGTACGGATTGTTGTTGTTTTTGTCAGCAGTTTTGGTTTGCTCTCTAGACGCGCGCTTGTTGAATCAAACGTCGTGAACTCTGCACTCTTTGGACGTCGTTCCATCTTGTCCCCGGTAACTGCAGAGTAACGTGCACAGCCATCCTCCTTGTGGACCTTTTGTCTGTTATTTCACGCCTCTACTCCGCGTACATTTCCTGGGTTTTGCGTGGCCGTGCAACCTGGCTTTGTCTTCTGGTGTGATTCTTGATA